TGGGATAAACCACCTGTTTTTTGAGGTCAATCACCCATTTTCTGGGAGAAATCACTGATTTTCTGGGGTAAATCACACACAGTAGGTGCCACTCCACCTCTGCTGAGGAATCAAGGTCTCAGGAAGGATTTTTAAATTTTTTTTTTTTGGAAGTTTGTAATTCCACAGTGGAGCAGCCCTCAAGAGAGCAGAACAGAAAATGAATGTTCAGGACATCCCAAATGCAAGTGAGGGCAGTTGTGGGTGCAGGGTGAGGGCTCAGTGGGTTGGATTTTAAAATAAATCTGTTCCTGTAAATCATGGATTTAATTTGAGTATCTGTTCCACAGCATGGAGGGGATTTCTGGCCCTGATTTCCAGCATTTTGGGGTGTCCTGGCTGGAATTCAGGAGGAATGAGGCACCAGGAATACCCTGTCCCAAAATTCAGAGTAGGATTTAGGAGCAGAAAGGATCACCTTGCCTGTGGTTGGAACCTGAGCAGCTTTTGGAGCTCCAAATGGAATTCAGTGCCCTTGATCTCGAGGTCCAGGCAAAAAAGGAGCTGAGGCAGGGGCTGATAAACACAGGAAACACTTCCAGAGCTCTTTTTTCCAAATGTGGGATGCAGGAAAAAAGGAGAAAAAGCTGAGTGCAGTTTTCCTGATAAGACATGGGTGTGAGTTATTGTGTGTGGGAAGGAGGAGGAGCAGGCAGATTTCTCTGGATGAAAATTCTTCATTAGAGGTTTTTTTCCCCCATATTTTTGCTTGCTGCTGTGAGGAACTAGATTTAAAAATTCCTGCCTTATCCCATGCAGTTACTATGGGAAAAAATTCAAGCCAGCAACTCAGAAAAAGTTCACTGGGTTTGTTTCCCCCTCATGACCAAGAAATCTTTGTTGTTGGTCATAAGTTTTTCGGGGTAAAAATCCCCTTTCATCCCTGTAGCACATCTTTAAATCACAAGTTTAAATCACAAGCCCCATTTTTCAGAGCCTCATGTCACAGTCATGTGCTGATCACTGACCTGCATCCCTAAAATCTGGGCTTTTTTCAGTGGTCTGGATAATTATTTTCTATTTTTTACTTTTTTTTTTAACTTTTCACAGGGGTGTCTGGTGACACAAACTCCTTTTGATTCCAAACTGCAGCAGGAAATGTTTTTCTTCATTGCTTTAGATATTTTGAATTATTTTTTAATAGATTGTTTTAGATCATTTTCCCTGCAGCTGGAATTCTTCAGGCAGCTTTAATTTAACAAAAAGTTTAAGGGAAAAAAAAAACCAAAACTCATAAAATCTTGGGGTTTGATGGAACAGCAGACATTGAGTGGAGGCACAGCAGAAAAGGTGGGAAAGGATCAGTGGAGGGAAATGCAGGTTTAGAGCTTCCTTTAGGACATTCCAGCCCTGTTAATGGGAAATCTCATCCATATTTTAATAATAATATAATCAAACATTGAATATTGCATATATTACATATATATTACACAGATATACATATATATAATTGCATATTTATTATTAAGATATATATAAGATTATATATTATATATATTATATTTATATATATATAAAATACATTCTACATATATTTTATACATTACATATACTATGTAAAATTATATATAACATTATCCATAACTGTAAAATTTATAATATTTATTATGGGGTATTATATTTATAACAAAATCATAATTACATCTATTTATATANGATCACACCAGGTGCCAATATTCAAATCTGAGCACCCACTGGTTTGTCCACAGCCTCCCAAAACCTCACTTCCTTATCAAACCAGGACACTGGGACACACTTGTGAGGCTCTCCCAGTGCTGCCAGCCATGGGGTTGTGCCCACATTGGCCTTGGAAAGGCTTTTCTCATGATTTTCTCCCTTTCCTGGTGTTTTTTCCCTGCCTGGGAGACGCTGGTGAGATTGTCCCACTGCTGCCAACCCTGGAGCTGTGCTCAGATTGGCTTTGGAAGGGCTTTTTTGCTGCCTTTCTCATTAATTTCTCCCTTTCCTGGTGTTTTTTCCCTGCCTGGGAGACACTGGTGAGGCTTTTCTTCTGCCTTTCTCTTGAATTTCCCCCTTTCCTGGAGGTTTTCCATGCCTGGTGAAGCTTTCCCGCTGCTGGCAGCCTTGGGGCTGTGCCCACGTTGGCTTTGGAAGGGCTTTTCTTCTGCCTTTCTCATAATTTTCTTCCTTTTCTGGTGTTTTTCCCTGCCTGGGAGACACTGATGAGGTTTTTCTTTCTCTTGAATTTCCCTCTTTCCTGCTCTTTTTCCCTCCCTGGTGATGCTGTCCCACTGCTGTTAACCCCGGGGATCTGCTCACACTGACTTTGGAAGGGTTTTCTGCTGCTTTTGTCATGATTTTCTCCCTTTCCTGGTGTTTTTTCCCTGCCTGGGAGACACTGGTGAAATTGTCCCACTGCTGCCAACCCTGGAGCTGTGCTCAGATTGGCTTTGGAAGGGCTTTTTTTGCTGCCTTTCTCATAATTTTCTCCCTTTCCTGCTGTTTTGCCCTGCCTGGGAGACACTGGTGAGGCTTTTCTGCTGCCTTTCTCTTGAATTTCCCCTTTTCCTGGAGGTTTTCCATGCCTGGTGAAGCTTTCCCGCTGCTGGCAGCCTTGGGGCTGTGCCCACATTGGCTTTGGAAGGGCTTTTCTGCTGCCTTTCTCATGATTTTCTCCCTTTCCTGATGTTTTTTTCCCTACCTGGGAGACACTGGTGAGGTTTTTCTTTCTCTTGAATTTCCCTCTTTCTTGCTCTTTTTCCCTCCCTGGTGATGCTGTCCCACTGCTGTCAACCCTGGGGATCTGCTCACACTGACTTTGGAAGGGTTTTTCTGCTGCTTTTCTCATGATTTTCTCCCTTTCCTGGTGTTGTTCCCTGCCTGCTGCAGCTGACAGTTCGCTTGAAGGACATCTGCTCCATGACCAAGGAGAAGACAGCCCGGCTCATTCCCAATGCCATCCAAGTTTGCACTGACACTGAAAAGGTAAATCCCACATGGATGAGGCTGGCAGGGCACTTAGAAGGGTGTGTGTGGGGGCTTTTTCCAAACTGGGAAAAGGATGGGGAGCAGGGATTGTGCTGAGCTGGAGCTCAGGTGTGGGGCCAGGTGAAATATTCAGATTTTACAGCAGCACCTCTCTCACAGAGCTCTTTCAGTGCTCACTCCCTGGTGAGAGCCTCTCCATGAGCTCACTCCAGCTGCAAAGTGACCCCAAACAGCTTTATTGTGTTTTTCACCTGTTTTTTGGCTTTTTCTGAGCTGATTTTTCTCTCCCTTTCTCCCCATCCAGCACTTTTTTACCTCCTTTGGGGCCCGGGACAGGACGTACATGATGATGTTCAGACTGTGGCAGAATGCTCTGCTTGACAAGGTACAGAGGGATGGGTGTGGGCAGGAGCATCACTTCTGGCTGAAAAA